GCTCATCCTCTCGGATGCTACGCAGCCTACTAACCTCCTCCCGTAACTCCTTTATCTGGTGATGCAACTGGTCAACCACAGCACACCTCACACAGGAGAGCTGACTGTCAGCCCAGGCCCCACAGAGAGGCCCCAGGCACTCCTGCAGCCTGACACCTGCAGAGCTGCATCTGCTGTCTGAGGGTCTGTCTGGGTTGAGGCCTCAGACACAGCCGATGCAGCAGCTCCAGCAGCCACTGGGGAACGTGCTCTGCGGCGTGTCATGACCATGCCCCGGGGAAGGACACACCACTGTGCAAAATGTGCAAAATGGGGAGGTGCCTTCTTTGCCTTCTAGCGCCCTTCTGCGCGAACTGCTGCGCAAACTGCTGCGTCTGTTCGCTGCCTCTGTTGGCTGCGCTCAAGTAGCAGTACTTGAACAATACATGTTCAAGTATTTCCTCTGAAATAATAATAAAGCATAAAAAATGCATCTAACGTAATCTCATGGGATATAAATAGTCTAAAAGTCATAAAATGTAACAGAAGTTAGTATTTTTTAGCTTCACTAAAGTGAAATGTAGAAAGCGACAAAAAAATCCTAATCCTTAGAAGATCTCTGTGATTTATCAAGTCAGTTAAAGGACACTTAAAATTTCAGTGCTTCTTTTTGATGTTAAACGCAGTAATATTTATCATGTGCTTAAGTCATGACAGTCACTACCCTATCTAACAGAAAAGCTATGACATACTAGAATGTCTTACCGTAATTTGCAGAGATAGGAATTTGTTTCTAAAACCTTCCTGAATTATGTACTTTTATGTAAAGGCTAAGGTTGTTTCATGCAAACTTTGAGTCACTTTACAGTGAGACAAGGGGGATAAACATATTACCACCTACTCCTGTAACACCGAGCCTAGCAGTGAAGCTATCAAGAAAACCTGCTGCCCGTTAACGTGCGCGTGTCTGAGCCCACACATGAGTATGCATGCGAGAGAGTCGGTGGGAAGTGTGATAGTGCTGCCTGCCCTGGCAGATACTGAGACAATTTTTAACTTCGGGCTGAGTTTAACTCTTTCTAGCACTTTTCTTTTGTCTAATCTTGATTAAAGCCAAGACGACGACCCTTCATGAGGAAGGAAGAAGGGGTATCGGAAACACACGAGAAACCAGGTCCCAAATGTGTTTCTGTTACCGGGTGCCAAGGTTCAAAACTGTGCCTGCCATGCTACAATTAACGTTTAGCACTAGCGTTAAATCCATTCTCATTTAGCTTTTCTTCTTTTCCTGGATCCTAATAATGACACTGTAAGTAATGCTGACTGGCTGTTTGCACAGCATTCAGACAACGTTTTATATGACGCAGTTGTTATCCTCACTGCAAGTTAGCTGATGAGAGAGAGCCAAGCTGCGTTGTTACAGTATTTAAGATGCAATTGATACGCTTGCATTTCAAACGCTTTACGCTCCATTTGGAAGCTAGGATCTGTATTTTCTTTACGAGCTGTAATTCCTGTTAATTATGCCACTCCATTTTATAATATCTGCTTACACATCACGCTGTAACAGCACAGTCTTAACTGCTTAAAAAATGCTTCAAGTTCAAATGTTGCTCTTTGAATGACTACTTTCGCTCTAAAATGCAGCTTTTCATCTGGCTATGTACAAACAGATTTGTGAGAGCAGTGTGACACTAGGCTCTGTTTTTACCAAGACAAAATAACATCGGATCCCATAGCAAAGAGAATCCCCAGTTTTGAACGTTAGATGTAAAATTTGGCCGGGTTACGTATCAAGCCGAGATACTGTCCTGTTATACAAAGCACAATAAAATTACTGGAGCCCATAATAGCTTCCAGCAACCCACAGATAGTGAAGTTTAAAATTGATCATTAGTTAATAATGGAACATAGCAACAAAGTTTCAAGGAAGGAAATTATATGAACAAAAATAATTCTTCCAAACCATTTTTTTTTTTAAGAGACTGTCTCTGCTTTATGATTTAGCTAGAAAACCAAATATAAAAAAGATGCAGCTTTTTCTTTCATGCATCCGTATTTTCTATGCTGTTAAAACATCCATTAGCTAAATATACACAGCAACAAAGTAGGCTCCTAGAAACTCTTTTATGCTGATGCAGAACTGCATTCCCACCAAGACTGCGCCACGGTCATCATGCCCCTAACTAGACCAGTAAAACAAAAGCGATACAACGTTTGCTCGGACAAGGTTTGTACGACTTCCTGGAAGTTGCAGCCTGTCCTGCTGGTCCTGCGGAAGGGGTCTGCCCCAACCACGCAGCCGCTTGCGTGAGGGTGCTCCCCTCCCCACGGCACCAGCCAAGCAAGGAGGGAGAGCCGGCCTTCGCGCAGCGCCGCGCGCAGGCACTTCAAGCACCCCGGCACGGCCAACGCCACCTTCTCATAATACGCCACGCAGGCGGCGGCTCGAGCGCGTTACGGACGGCACCGATGCCACCGGTGGAAACTCAGAGCGCTCGTCTATAAACACGCGGCTCAGGCTACGGCTTTGCCAAACTGCTTGCTGAAACCTCCACCGCACCCCGACTTTGCCAAGTGTGATCTCAATCACTTTTTCCACAGCAAAAGCTGGCAAACCTGTTTCCGGACCACGTCCCGTTTTATACCCATGCTAGCTACGAAATGAATGCAGACTACAAGCTCTGCAAACACGGAGTTCTGCTTACGATGGCGACAAGGACAGCAACTGGGATAGTAGTAGTCAAAGGTAATCACCAATGCCTCAATAAAAACTGGTAAGTGGAGTAGACTAGAGTAAGGCATCTTCTAAAGAAGGTAGAAAATCTGCTTAAGGTTCCTAATAACTAGTATAGCAAGAAGGGTAACATCATTTCCTCAGCCTCTATTTGTCTCAAAGCAGTGTATCTGGAGGTCACAGAGAAGATGATAAAGGAAGGAATTATGATTAATATAGAGTACAGGTTACTGCCCATACTTTCTACTTGAGCTAGCTGTTGTAAACTAGCACCTTAGCACCTTTTATTTCATCCTCCCTATCTAAGACAATGGCAATATTGGAAAGACGAACACCACACCATACTTGCACTTACTCGCGCTGAGCAGGAAGGCTGCTGCCCTGTGAGCAGACAGACATTAAGAGTACTGAACGAGCAACGGGGTCTCGGGATCACCCAAGTGGCAGGTGTCCTGCAAGCAGCTAATCAATGCCATCAGAAAATCACTATAAAAGGGGGGAGAGGGTGGATGGATATAGGCACTATCTAACACCTACCACCCTCAGGGTAGGTCAGAAAATGTAACGGTCACATCATACAGCTGATATACGTTACAGAAGCAGTGAATAAATGAACCATTTTGAATGACATGCAGTAGAGAAATAGTTGAACTAATTTTGAATGATGTCCCTAAAAAAAGGTGATTTTTATTTACTTGCCATACATAGGATAGTAGAAGATATTATAGTTTGAAATAGTTCTTTATAGTTTGAAAGGTTCATTAAAATAATAATTAACCTGCAATAGTAATAGAAGCTTCTGTAGAACAAAGTATTTCACTGATAATTAAATTTACCTTTATAAATGCACAACTGGTTCCATTGTCTGTAATGGTAAGCCCAAGCACATCCTCAGTTTTAATAGCTTCCACTTCTTTTCGTTGTCCTTTTACATGGGCGAATATGAAGTCTTCAAGGCCAATTTGTGCTCCTAAGAGCTTGTCCATGTCAACTTTATGAGTGTTCAAAGTGCAAAACATGATCTGTACAGCAGAGAAACAAACAAATTATCTCCAGGTTAAATAACGTATTGGGTTTGGTGAGCTTACTTAGCTGACAGGGAGATAAAAGTAGAGCATAATTCTGGCTTCTTTGAAAGACCCGTAGCTGAAGCAACAATCATTTTCCTTCTCCAGCGGAGAGGCAATATGCTCCATCCCCTCACATGATAGGAAACGTCAATAGCTCAAATGCTACAGATAAGAGTTGGCAGGGAGTACAGGAAAAAAGAAAAAAGAATCAGTGCAGACAGCTTCTCACAGCCCAGCAGAGGGAGGTCAGGTGGATCGGGAGCTCCGACCACAGGCATCTCCTACAGCCGGTTTCAGGGCCGCCAGCTTTCCCACAGCAATAGCCGACCCAGACCTCAGGGAAGCATTTCTGGCCAAGACTTTGTGGGTGTCATCCTGGTATTAAACATCCTTCAGCCTTCATTTTGGAGCCCGTTTCTTACGCAACCCAGTTAAGAGCCCTGCTGCACCACCTTCAGACCACAGGCGCTGCCAGCAGAAGCGGCAGCACAGCCCGTCACCCTCACGGCAGCCGCATAGCGCAGTGCCCTTCGCTCACCGCCCGTCCAACCACCGCCCTGTTCTAATGCTTTTAGCAAAGAGAGGCGCAGCAACACTCACGGACAGGCTTCAACTTTACTCCCTCAGGTAATGCAAAAGTTTCAGCTAACCACCACTCCAACAGTAACATCATCTAGGGAAATTCTAGCTGTTTTTAAGTAGAATTTTACTTTATAAATATTAATTAATACTGAAGATTGGAGATTATTTTTACCAAGAAGGTTCAACTCCAGCAGTTTGCACAACAGGCTTTATTTTTTAATATCTTGCTTATAAATTCATATACCAATTTTTAGCTTTCTCTCAAGCTACATAATAACTTGGCCAGTTCACAACTGTGGCTTAATTCTTTTTGTTCTTACAGTGAACAACAAGCAGCATGTTTTTATTTTTTAGAAGATATCAGTATCCTTCATCTGACCTTGTCACCCACAGACAATCACCTAGTGACTACGTTCACACCTTTGAATAGATAAAATTGGCCACAGAACAGAAATGTGATATTTAGAAACTCGATCCAGAGTTTCTCTTTCCCTTCCCTGCCACAGCCTGCAAGTCTGTGGGATTTTCTGTGAGTCAGGTCTGTACTACCCCCAAGGCTGAGAGCATCACCCAGTCAAAAATAAAACTTAAATCATTCTTTAACCTCTTTAGCAAGCAACTGTTTTTTTCCTCAGTACAGCTATATGCAAAGAGTAAGGTACTAAAGATGCATCTACCCAGGACAATATACCGTTACACCACGTATCAGTTACAGCACAGCTTTATTTGCACACGACTGAGGACTGCCAACTCAAAAGTGACATTTTTGTCATAACTCTTACGTAAGTTTGATAATGGTACTTAAGAGCAGCTTAAATACTTAAACAATCTGTCAACAGCTACCACAGCACACCCTTTTCATTCACGCATAAGTTTTTACATATTTTTAAATAGTAGTTTTCTCACCAAGAAACAAAAGAAAAAAAAATGCAGATTTCATTGCAAAGTCTTCTCTCTCTCCCCACCCTCACCCTGCAGATATATTTGATCTTCAGCTCAGCATACCAGTGCTGTGACATCTCATGCCAACTTTAGTGAGGTATTATAAATCATGGCCATTACCTCAGTCACCAAATATCTAGGATACCTCTTTCGCTGCGAGCGTCGTATCGTGCAGCATGCAGAGCAGCAGGAAATTCCCCTTGGCTGGCAGAGACCGGGGGCTGATGCATAAAATAGATTTCTTAGATAAGATTACTAATGGATTATTCCTCGCATGAGTATTTTCAGTGATAAGAGACTACTTAGCTAAGAAAAACAGGGTTACACTATGTGTTATATAAAGCAAGAGACTATTAGCTAAGAAAAACAGGGTTACGCTGTGTGTTATATAAAGTACATAGGATACACAATATGGTACTGCATGAATTTAGGCATACTTGATCATTCTCATCTTCCAAATAAGGCCTACATCTTAAGCACTCAAAAATAATTTGACTGATTGATGACATACTCAGATGCTATTAAAAGCACTCTTTAATTAATAGATTTCAAACCACCTTACAAAAGAAATTATAATCACTTTCTCTATTTAATGAGTGGGGAAAGAGGACTCCTGCAAGACATAACATCCCCTGACACATCTGCCTGTGTATCTAGGTGGCATTGTACCAAGACATCACACCAACACTTCCAGCTACCTTCCAGCATTTTCCAGCTGCCTTACGCGCTTTATCCTGCATGGGAAGAATGGAGGAGCTTGCCCGATGGCAGCAACTGGAAGAGCAACCAACTCCCCCGAGCTCTAACACGCTCGCAGTGCTCTTTCAGGAATGCAACCCAAACACATCCAAAGTACTGTAAAACAAACATTTTCTGATTTATTGCTCTTTTTTAATCCCAATTGTGGAATTACAGTATAGATTCTTCAATACGGCTGAAAAGTGTTTGAGAAGTAGACCATTAACGCAGCAAGCATCACGCATATAATAAGGTATGAAATTTAAGCACCACTTAGGCAACAGCAGTACTTTTACGTTTTCGAAGCAAGCAAACAACGGTTGCCATAACATGGTGAGGAAGGGGAACAACGAGGTGAGGAACAATTTGTTTCCATGGACAAGCAGATACACTAAAGCTCCAAACACTTTAGTGCTAGGAATGAGGATTTCAGAAGCTGGCCCTTTTCTCTGACCCAAGATATGCTTGACTTTTTATTCAGACACCTGATTTTGGGCATACATTTTTTAGTACCCTCTTTCACAAAACTTCAAATCAACCAGTTTTTAAATCAAACCCTTTTATGAGAGTTGGATAGGACACAGCTTTGCCGCCTACTCCCTGTTGAGCCGGAGACAGCCGGGCTCTCGGCACAGCAGCCCAGGCACAAGCGCAGCAGCTGAACTCCGTTACTGGAAGAGGACCCCAAGGCAGCTACCTTTTGCTATTGGTGCTACTGGAATGTTTCCCCTTTTCCTGGTTTTCGCCATAGGATTTCTTATGAAGCAGAAATCCTTCCACCATGAAGGAAAGCCTAATCTTCACGGGCTCGGCTGGCACACCCACTGAGCACCCAACACACCTTGCCAGCCCAACCATACTTCACCTTACAAAGCAAACAACATAATCAAGAGAACAAGTTATGAGTGCACAAACTAAAAGCTCATATACTACACCTTTATAATTTACTATTTGCTTATCACCTGCTTAAGAAATTGCCCTGCCACTGCCAGACTTTAATACCCACATTTCTTTTGCTGTATTAGCCACTTTGAATACCTTAAACCCCTACTGCATGCTCCCACAGGAGTACGCTGCCAAAGGCTTGAATAAACCTATACTGTACTTTGGTCAATGCTTATTTATTCTGTTTATGATAAGGGCTGCCCTTAGCATTTCCACCCTTCCAAGGAACGTAACACCCCCTGCCACATTTCCCTATAATCATAGTGGAACCGCAATGCTAAGTGCCCAAGAGCATATGCAAATACATTTTCTAACTAGCTTTCCTATTTTATTCTCTACGGGAAGAGTGGAGGAAACAGTTGTTTTATTCTGTCAGTAGAAACATACACATTTGTGGATGGGCTACATTGCTAGTTAAGGAATGTTATCTATTTTATTGAGCAGTAGTGACCCAGTGAGTCAAAAGTAGTGACAGATTACAAGTATAACTCATCCTGAGTGCTGCCGAAACTCTTAAGTAGGAACATATCCAAGAATGCACATCCTTGCCTACGCTGCAGTCAACTCCCATATCATGTTAAGCATACTCACTTCTGCCATGGCTTGCCAAGCGCTCTCCACGTTCAGCTCCCCCCTCACCCCCCCTTCTGTTTTCCGTCTTGGTCACTGCAGAGCAGATCTCTCGATAATGCTCCTTTCCAAAGGCATTCGGATTTCACACTGCCCGCAGGCTTCAGAAGAGTTCGGTCACAAAATTTCCTAGGTAGATGACACCTCCAAATGGCATTTGAGCACCTCAGTGTCTTGCAGTGTGCTGAGGTGTACCTTCAGGCATTATTCTTTACACCAGCCAGCCCATAAGCAGCTTTAATTCATAAGTAATACTATTTAAAATGTCTACACTTCTCATTTCAAGCAAGCTCTGCTGTTAACAAATCATGTGTTTCATGGAATCCCAGTCAGGATGTTGGCCCATCCCTCCATTAAAATACAGTATAACAAAATCTTAGTGCTTTGGGCCATGAAATAGTCATTTAATCTTTCCATTTTTCAGTCACTATATTTGTCTTGATTCCTGTCAGATCTTCTACTGTGTTACAAATACCACCTTTACTGTAGGGTCCCTTTGCTTGGGTGTCCACAAATCCTGCATGCTGACCTTTTCCATTTTCTCGTCCAGTAGTCTATCTCTATTCACTCACTAGAATTTATTATACTTACAAATTATTCTAAATAAATATAGTATTTTTCAGTCACAGGCATGTATTGAACTTCCAAGCTTCGAAACAAAGAATTTTTGCTTCCTTAGCTTTGTATAACAGTTGTAAAAGTCCTTCACATCTTAAATTATGTCAGTGAATCAATTATTATATTCTTAAATATTTTTTCTCCCATGTGATAACAAAAAAAAAAAGCATAAACTTCCTCATCCTAAGTACTACTTGCCAAGGTGCAAAGTAAGGCCGTTACGGAACGTAAATGAACGCCTTGCCAATATTCTCAGAGCTAAAACAGGGATCTGTACAATGTCTTGCAGTATTTTCCCTAGTTTCAAACTACTGAAATTATTAAAATAGTGTAAGTTTCTCATATAGCCAATATCATGTTTCTTTCTGAACAAAGACACACAACTTATTTGCGCAGACACAATATGGAGTTAGACCATACCCTTTCCTTAAGCTAGAAAGCTTCAGCGCAAAACTTTTTCAGGATATGAAATACTTTACACTTATATTCAGATGCTTTCCCAAATTGTTACTTGCTATTCACTGATCTATCCTATTTTAACTTCTCTGTCCAAAATCCTGTTGCAAGACTTTCTGGTCCAGATTCATCACTCTGCTGCTCCACTTTTACACCAGGAAGTAATTTTGATCTCTATTTTCATTTTATGCAACTTAATTAGAACTCTTTATTCAAGAAAAATTCATTCCACTTTAAAGAACAAGCGTGGTGCCTCCAGCATTAACTCTTCACTCCCTTTTTACCAATAAATCAAATTTTTAAAAATAAAACCAAGATAGAAAGGGGAAGGCCCAGTAGAAAAAGGAAAGAAGGAAAAAAAATCATTCTCTAGTTTAGTACAAGGCCAGGGATCGATGCCGGTGAGACACGTGGGGCCTCCTTCTCTCACCTTTGGGGGCCTTGCATTCCCCATGGAGCAGGAGAAGCGGGAAGAGCACCATTCATCCAACCCTGAACTTCCCGGTGGATGCTATTCTTTCTCAAGCCAGTGGAGCCACAGGATCAGTGACAGGAGAAAGCGTTCGACAGCAAAATGAAGGAAAGGAAACTAAAATAGAAAAACGATCTGGCAATTATCGGGGCTCGAGAGTAAAAGGTATAACTGGAAACAGAACAGATAACAAAAGGGGAACAGAAGCTCCGTAGGGAAAGAAAACAGAGAAGCAAAAGGTCAGAAAGCAGCTGACAAGGTCTGGGAGGTAGGCGCGCTGGCTGGCAAAGGTACTGGTAGCTCTTAATTACTTAATGCAACAGTGCCTGGTTAAACTGTGTTCACTGCTACTGCTGCTTTTATCATTTACTCTTTGAAGTGCTGTGAGGTCTAACCACAGTAGTCTCTCAGAGCAAAGTCTACAGTAGTTTAAAGGAACCAGCAACAAATACGAAAATAAGTAAAACTATATAACCAAGCCACATGAAAAGTTAGCACTTTGTTACAATTTGACACTCAAAGGTTAAGGCTCATAGAAGCACGTAGGAAGATTTTTTTTCCACTGCCTTTCAACTAAGGGAAAACAATGCATTTACAAACACAAATGAATTGTAATCCAAACAAATGTTTAAACTCGGCTCAAAAAGATCAAAAAGGCTGCAGGATAAAAAAAAAAATCCTACTACAGTTTTAATAGGCCTCCCTTAGCAACACCCCTTTTTAAAATAATCATTTGGCAAAGCAAAAAGTTCTCCAGCTGCTCAACCTCGCATTAAGTTGTAATTAAAAAAGAAAAAAAAGGCTAGATTTAAAGCATTTATACCCTGTTGTTGCCATTCTGTATATTTGCTCTCATAGATTCATTCATTTTTCAAACTGGGGAAAAAAAAAAAAAAATCAGTGCAATCAGTAATTCCTGCCCTGGAATTATCCCACCCACCCACTCAGAACAGACATGGTTTGACTCGGCGTTCAACAGGCACTAAGTTGCATTAAACATCCAGTGAACAATAGGTTAACCAAGATACTAGAGATATTATGGTAAAAATGACTATATTTTGCTGTATAAAAATTAAATGCTTGTACCCTTCTGCGTATGCGATGGGTGTTTCATTTCTAGGAGTCTTTGGAAGTAGCAACAGGGTTTCTTTTTTCCCCTTTATTAGAAAATAACCCCCCAAATCGCGGGGACGACGCTGGGGCGGTTACGCTGCGGGAGCACGCGGCCCGCCTTGCTGCGCCCCTTCCATCCACCCACGCGTGACGGCGGGGGGACCCTACCTGCGCGGGGGGGATGCAGAAGGCCTCGGCGATCTGCGCGTAGAGCTGGC